AGTTTGAATTTACCTTATGCCCAGCTATAGTGATTGCATCCACCTTTAATTCTGCAAGGTTTACATCTATCTTGCCAATTGCTTGCGTAGCATCCGAGTGAAGAAGAACAGTTGTACCTGAGTAGATCGCACTGAAGGCAGTTAGATAGAGAAATAGCAGTGAGGAGGTGAAAGCTTTGTTAGAATGTAATTTTAGCTTGCGTAGTGAGCATAGCGACTATACTGGGTTTACACTGAAGGGATGGAAGAGGTGATATGTATCCAGTGTAATTTTTAGCGAAAAGTTCACATCTCTCCCATACTAACAATACTGAAGGGCATTGGGGAAGCGATAAACTGAATCTCCCACTTTCCGTAATAAGCAATGTCAACTATTGCAAACAAATTTCTTGTGTGGCAATAAAGGCCAAAAGGATCTTTGGGTTGGATAAATTCACGTTGAATTCATTTAAGAATTTGTCACGATTACAAACACATTTATATCTTAATGAATTCAAGTTTCCCTTTTCTTTCAAATGACCAATCTAAAGTAATATTTAATTTTGCACTGTTTTCATCATACGACCGTTTTAGTACAGGAGCATTATCAGCTGGCACGAGGCCCTGTTAGAGATGATTACGTAGCTCCTCTAATCTAAACACTTCAAACTTCACCTGGTGAGTAACTTAAGTATTAAGGGCACTTCTACCTTATACTTGATGTCTTGGACCTAAAGCAGTTTTCAAGAAGACTAGGTTGAAGTGGGAAAAATACCTGCCTGCTGCGTCATATTAGGGAAGCTAATTTATACCTAAGCCATAGCATGCGAGACTTGGGACTTGCCTATTTTATATCAGCAGTGGTTGTATAAATTAGCTCATGCTCGCTCTGGTAAATCTATCTCATTTTCACTGATGCTTAATTATTATATGGGCGCAGTTTAAGGTTGTGAAGGTTTTGCTAGATCTGTTTAAATCCCCGTAGTTCTCCTGCTGACGAGTGCTGCAAAGCGTTTGATAGAGGTTCACGAGGTTTACCATCAATAACACCCTAGAGGCATAATGGCTACATTACATCACATTATCAACTTGTGCCTATAAGTCACAACAGACCTCGAACACTCGTTCTACGAATCACCACAAAGCACCAAAGCACGAGTCTAGTGGTTATTATCAGTATTGCGGCACGAAGAACTCTTATTCTCTAGTCTGCGACCGGTCATGCTCTAAGCATCTTAGATATACAAATATAGTTTAGTTATTTGTGCTGGGAGACTGGAGTAGGATGATCCGATGATGTTCGAAATGATGGTTTGAGGG